TGATGTTATAAAACAATCACTTAAATCAAAATAAACTTTAGCACTCACTGATTGCAAGTTTACAAATGTCATTAATTATAAGTAAAAAAGCTACAAACATAACCTTCACTAGATAATCAAAAGCAGTTCAATCTATAGAAGCTGTAATGTAAGAAGCAACATAAGAATGTACATTATACCTTCTGCACATCATATCCACAAAGGCCTGCATTCAATAAAATTCACAAGTAAACGTTTTGTCAACCTCAAGAACATCATCAGGAAAGTATTTTTACAATACAAAGGCACAATTGACCTACTGTTTGTATTTAAAATTTAACCCTAATGACATCAAAGAACTAATAACTAAAGAACCTGAAAATGCCATTTTACTCAATGGTAAAGATACATCAGAATACATTCATATTGTCCGATTAGGCAATCAATTTTTCAGTTTCCTATAACCTAGGCAGGTCTCCACAACTAGCTTGAGAGGTAATGGCTAACCAGAACAACCAATAAACCTAGAACTGGAAGAGTGAAGAATATCATGAAGATATTTGAATTTTCATCATCTAGAGCAATATTCGAAATTCAATGATATCATGACCATGTATTCATATTTTCAGACCATAGTGATCCAAATTGTATTTTTTTTGTTAGTGTTAAAGGCAATCAAGGGACTCAAGGAACTGTCAAGTTGTATTTCAATTTCAAGAGGTACATGCACTTGACATGTTATCCAAAATGAAAGATTCCAATGTGATATCGACAATTATATTTTTCATTGTCTCCTGTTTAAGTAATATGATGAAAAATAAAATGAAAAGTGTGCCATATTCTATAATAGTATTCCAGAAATACTAAAGAATTCAGATTTCTAAGGGATAAGAAGATTTACCAAGAACTTCTCGGATCACGTTCATATCAAGTTTAAAGCCCTCTCCAAGCATTTTACACAGAAATTCTTCAGCATCAGCATGCAGTTTGCTGTTTGTTGGTGGCGTGGTTGATTGGACTTCTTCACTCCATATCGCAGAGGCAGGCACTTCTTTCCAATCTAGTTTTAATGGTTTCTTCACCTCAGTATATTCAATTGTTGATGCTCTGGGCCTACTGTACTCCTTTCCAATCATCCCTGAAACAGTACCCGCTGAAGCAGAAAGTTTTTTTGACTTCAATGTTCTGGTGTTGTCCATTCCATTGAAGGGATTCTGAATACTTCTGACGGTTGGCACATCTGCATGAACTGCACTTGCAACGTCCCGTCCAGATTCCATGCCTTCCAAAGAAGTTGTGCTTGCACCCTCAAGCTTAACTTTTGAGGAACTAGCACCGTTTGAGGAAGTTAAATGCGATCTGCAAAGAATTTCACCGGCCATTTCTACATTGCACTTCGCCTGGCAGTATGCGGAGGCTATGTCCTTGAGAGAAACCATTGAGCTAAATGCTTCAAGCAAATACTCCAAGTCCCTTCTCTTGTCATCACAGCTTGCAGCAGGTGTGTTAAGTGCTTGCATTGTAACATATGCTTCACAAAGAAGAAGAACAACAGAATAGCAACGTTAATGCATAAACAGGAACTCCACCATGACACGAGATAAGATTTTCCAAAGCAAGGATTTGTAAATAGAAACCAAATGTGGACATAAAAATGGAAAGCAAGTTCTCAAGCTCTCAATTTTATATTATATACAAGCTTGTATGTTCAAGCAGCAACCCCAGTTTACATCCACAACTACTAAAAGGGCCAATAACCACAATCAGGGACACAACAAAGAAACTCGTAATTTTAAGCCCTCTCCTTCCCTTTTATACTACTCTTCAAACTAAAAAAAATCTTTACTTTCTACTTCCACCACAATTCCTTGACTGAGCTTTTACCAAACAAATGCATCATGTATGTCAGTATGTGCTATATCCCAAATTCCACACTCGTATCATAGGGGATTCGACGTGAAAGAACAGAGTGCTGGCTGTCGACTATCTAACGCATTCCCCTCCTTTATCCAGGTTTGGGGCCGGCAGCGTGCAATAAATTTACACAGGCAGAGTTTGTAAAAAAAAAGCCGCAAATTCGGAATAGCTCTCAAGGAAAGTAAAATATCAAAACTAGATGTACGTACGTACGTATGTATGTATGTACACGTATACACGCACACACACACACACATATATACACGCAAAAATTATGTCATTAGGTTCTTAAGTAAGAATTATGCTTCGTGATCTGTACGGACACACGCTCTCACATTATGTAGTCATGGAATCATCGGCAAGAAATACATATCATATTAAGAATCACAGAACATAAAAATGTGCATATTTCAAAGTATAATCCAACGCAACAGTAACCAGGGTTTTAGTGAACGATTTTGGAAAGAAAAAATTACAAAAAAAAAAGGAAAAATAATAATATTTTGATGAATGGCAGTGCGGAGGAAGAAACGAAAGGTCGGTTACCTGGAGAAGATGGAGCGACGAGAATATAGGATGAGAAAGAGTAGAGAGAGAGAGAGAGAAAGCCCTCTTTCTTTCTCTTTCAAAATTCAGGCTTTCTTTCTCTTTGTGGAAGGCGTTTAGCCTCTCTCATGGAAGAAAAATAGAAATAGCAGAGTGACTGTAGGAAGCATGACAGTACGAGAGTAACACGCGATTTCAAAATTCCGCGTCCTACGCGCTTCTTTCTTTGGACAAAACGGCATTCTCGTAACTTTCTTCACTTTGCAAATGGACTGAATTTCAAGCAGTTTTGCTTGTTGATTTGTAGGTTCTTTAACAGATGTCTTAAGTTTGGTTGATGCAGAACAAGCCAAGGGAGTTTCGGGAGATGGGGGATGATAATCTGGGATTCACTTAACCAAGGACAATGTAGCTCGTTCACGTCATTAATTATGGATTCGCTCACACAACCAGGCCAAATGTTTGATTTTAGAAGAAGAAATCACTCTCTTCAAATGCACAAGGCAAATACAATTTTAATTCATTCAAGTCTGTCCTTCAAGGCTTTCTAGTACAATATTTATAAGCGTTTACAAATTAATAGACCTCAAGTTTCCATGACACCCTTAGAGCATCCCCAGTAAAGTGCTCTATATGAGGCTGGAAAAGTGGTGGATATAGCCCATTTTAGAGTTCCGAAGAATCTTTGAGGCTTTATAAAAGAATCTTGTGTTAACTTTTCTTAAGTTAATTTTTGGACGTGCTATCTTAAATTTTTTTTTATAAACCCTTCAACCTAAAAAGTTCAAATTATAACAAAATTAGATTTCATCACTAATGAATCATTCGTTGGATTAGAGTCTCTTATCTCAAACTCATCCGTTGAAAGAAACAAACCCCCACTACCCTCTGAAATAATTTGATTTTCATGTATAACACAACAATTTACCTAGCACCAATTGGTAAATTAGGATCATACAATTTTGAAAAATAATTATTTGAAAATTTCATCCATCAATGCTCATAAACACTAAATCAATTTGAAATTTTAATCCTTATGGAATTTAAAACAGTCATTAATTGGCCAAATTGCAAGACAAATAAGTAAGAAAAAAGAATTAAAATATTTGAAATTTCTCTCTAAGGCTAGAAATGTAGTAGCCTTATGGATGATAAAGTCCCCAATAAATTCTTAAGTAATTAAAATACAAAACCTTTGTTATTCCAAAGCATGTTAATGGTTTCAAATTGTTTTCTCCAAGTCTTCCTCCCGCATCATTGATTATCGTCAAAGGCGAATTTGAACCATATTATTGATAGTCCATTATGAGACTTAATTCTACCTCATTTTCTTAGTGTAGATAATATCGTTTGTTCAAAAAAGTTTGCAATCCATTTTTATCAACAAAAAAAAAATTTAGGGGTTTACCGGGCCTTTATGTGGGCTATGATTGTAGGTGTGTCATGTTTATTGTCTTTGTGGTATATCTGTACCGGCATTTTTTGGTTGTGTTATTAGAGTGGTGGGCATATAGAATAATAGGAATTTATCTTTATTGTTATATGTGCATAGAGATGGCAAATTAATATATTGGATTGTTAATGAGTAATCATTAAGACCCCCTTCATATCAAACTGAAACGGATCTAATGGTTATCGATTAACAACTCAGTGCGTTGATTTGCCACTTCTAAATGCATGTAACAAAAAAGGTAAACCCTTACATGGATACTGCGCCAATAAAACAAGATATATCTTAAGAGTTACTTATTAACAATCCAATGTGTTGATTTGCTATCTCTACTATGTGTGCTTCACTCCAAGTAAAAAAATTATTCATTGAAAAAATGTAGCTATTTGACACCTTATATTCATCATGTTTCTATTAATATCTTGTTGAAAAAAACTCTTGCAATCCATTTTGATAAATGAGCGATGGAATGTTGTTGAAAATATTTAAGGTAAACACTTACATCTCTCATGATTTATTTCAAATAATGTATCTTCACCACGTAAATTTTATATTTGAAACCGTTCAATTTTTCACTTTTCATTTGAAGATATCTAAATAAATTTATTAAAAAAAAGACCCACACACACACTTAGGCTTGTTGTAGATTCTTTGTTTTTGGTCTACAAATTCAGATGGGCTTCACCCTTGGTTGATTGAAAGCGAAATGAAGGGGTGTATTCAATTGGAATTTTGGAAAATTTTAATTCTTTTAATAAATTTAGGGGTATTCGATTAGGATTTTAAGTGATTTTCTGGAATTCAATGTGTATTCAATCGTGATTTTAAGATAGTTTATCAAAATCCTTAAAAATCCGAATATATTAAATTAGAATTTTAAAAAATTTATAACATTTCAAGTGTATTCAATCATAATTTGAATTTAAAGAATTTGGAAAAGTTAAGGAATTAGAGAGAATTTGAGAGATTTTGAGCATCCACAAATCTTACATCTTCTCATGAGATTTCAAAAGAATTGAATCAAAATTTTACAAAAAAATATTTACAAATCAGTTTAACACCATAAAAATCCATTGATTTATAAATCCATTAAAAACTTTCACATTATCAATTGAATACACCTCTGAAAAAGTAGAAAATAATGAAAATTGGAGAAAGCAGAAGAGCATGTGGCATCGTTTCTGAAGAGCATGTGGCATTTGGCTCTTACCAGTTAAAATTCTCTCATTTCTCTCCTTCCCTCCGCCGCTCTCTCCTCCATCTCCGTCACCAAACGCTGGGTGTCTCTCCGCCAAACCAGTAAGCTTCCATTTTTATGCTGCATCTTTTTTTGTCTGCATTTCTATGCTTTAGTGTTTGAAATTTTGATGCCATTTTGGTAATTGTTTACTTGTTTCTGGCATGCTATGCCCAATGCCTTTTGGGTGTTTTTTTTTTCCAATTGCAAGTGATTGATATCTGCTATGTGTTTGGTGAATTAAACATCTCTGCTAGGCTTTTCAACAAACACATAGAGAGCAACATACTTCTGAGATAGATTACAGAAACTTTTGTTTTTGATCTAAAATTGAGCTAAATTATGTGTTTTTACTGATTGGGTTGGGATCAGCTGCTGTCTGGTCCGCCATATCGTCAGTAGTCTGTAGCGGTGAGCAAGCATTTGAAATTTTGTGAGGAATAGTTGCTAAGCTTGTGGCCTCTTTAGTTACCGAGCTTCAAATTGTATGATAATGTTGAAACTTTGCATTTCAAATTCTTGTACTGGATTATTCGATAAGCAATGAGGTTTCTCAGTATCCAGTATTTATTGATGCTAAACCGCAATGAGGTTTTTCAGTATCCAGTATTTGTTGATGCCAAAGCATTTTCATTGGGTTTGGCGGCTAGGTATGGGAGGCAGAGGAGTTATCGGGGATCGATGGTCCATGAGGATTCTCTGGGCGTGTGCAATTGGAAGTGCTGTCAGTATGAGCTCTTGACCCTTCCATGTTTTGATTCTTGATTCAAATAGCATACTGGATTTCCGACTCAAATTTTTGTAAGGAAAATGCTTTGTCTGCTTTTAGTTTTACAATACTTTTGTTTCACAAACTGTCACGCGAATAATATTCATGCCACGCATAACACTTCTTCTTTACGGTTGTGATTTTAGTGAGCATGGTGCGCTCCTGCGTTCATTTGTGAACTAAGATGATTCAAACCAAACTAACTGATTCAATTTAATTGTTTAAAACCCAATTATATCTACATTAGATGAATTATCCGCTAAACCGGTCAGGGTTTCAAACTGGTTAAACCCCAACTAGTACTATAGATAACACCACGTTTCGTGTAATTGTTTATTCTGTGAATTTCTTTGTTTCAATTTCTTGGCACGTCCTTATTTTTTCTGATGATGATTGTCACTTCTTTTTAGGCCTATATATGGTTGCTGTGGACAGACAACTAAAGAACAGGGAACGAGCGCTGGCCGAAGAGTTAAAAGCCATGGAGGCAGAGTCAGGCACCGGTGAGATTGTTTGACTGTTGATAAATTATAGGCAATAACTAGCTTAGAGCTTTCTAGATTTCCCAAGTTCGCATCTGTCATTTTGGCCACTGTGAGGATTATGTAAATTGTTGTCTGTTGTTCCCGTTCGGAATCAAGTTTTAGGGGTTTACCCCGTTGACAAGAGTATCACGATTCTGGTTTTTGGAGGATATTGATGTAGAAGTCGTTGCAGAGACTGTTCTCTGCACAGGAATATATATTCGAGAATGACATTTCTATTGCGATCCTGGCATTATATTCGAGTAGCCGTGGTCACTCGTATATGCGCAGCGCTGATCCTGGCACGCTGGCTCGAAATGCATCAACAATCAATATCAGCTAAGGCATGTGTGGGCAACTGACTTAGCATCCTTAAATGCTTATTTGGTAGTGTTCATTTGTAGAGACTATTTACGTTCTTGTAACGCAATATAGTAATCTAGTTGCGTAACTCGAATCTCTCAACTAATAAGTTACCATGGGCTGCAATTGCAAGAAATGTTCCTCCAATTTCTGCAAGAGCTAGAGTTATATAACAAAGTGTCAGTGGCTAGCGCTGAAACACAATTAGCAAGTTAATATGGAGTTATTAATTTGTTTTGGCCACTCCAAAACCCTTGATCTGAACCGTTCACTGTTTAAATCCTTGTTCAACCATCACTCGTACGAAAACTTCACCACTATCGACGCACACACGCCACGCGTGTTTGTCAATTCTAGTTGTATTGTGTGATGTGATCAATGAAATTGCCTACAAAAGAAGAGATTGTCCGGCGGGGCAGCTGAAAACAAGGTCCATTTGTTGTGGCAGTACTCTGTCTGCTCACAAAAGTTTCATGACTCCAGAGAGTTCTAAAACAACTAGCAAACCTCGGAGAAGCGCTTTTGGTGCTTTTCCAGTTTCCATGTTTCATAAGCACTTTTTCATGCGGAGCACAAGTTCGCTATATATAAATAGTCATATAACCATGCAAAGCAAAGCAAACATACAGAAAAAGATGGCTTCCTGCAGCATTGGGTTGTTGGCACTTGTCTGCTTGCTTAGCTTGAGCAATGCCCATAGGGTCCTCAAATTCGAGGACCCAAGTGGGCATGGAATGAAAATGAGAATGCAAAAACCCATGGGCCAAGGAGTTGGCATTGGCATTGGGACTGGAAGTGGAACTGGGGAAGGTGTAGGCATTGGGAGGGGTATTGGTGAAAGCGGTGATGGTGAAGGATTTGGAGAGGGCTATGGAAAAGGCATTGGAGAAGGTAGAGATGGGAAAGGATTTGGAGAGGGTTACGGAAAAGGCATTGGTGAAGGTGGTGATAGAGAAGGATTCGGAGAGGGCTATGGCAAAGGCATTGGAGAAAGCGGAGATGGGAAAGGATTTGGAGAGGGCTACGGAAAAGGCATTGGTGAAGGCGGTGATAGAGAAGGATTCGGAGAGGGCTATGGCAAAGGCATTGGTGAAGGTGGAGATGGGAAAGGATTCGGAGTGGGCTCTGGAAAAGGTATTGGTGAAGGAGAAGATGGGAAAGGATTTGGAGAGGGCTCCGGAAAAGGCATTGGTGAAGGTGGTGATAGAGAAGGATATGGCAAAGGCATCGGTGAAGGTGGAGATGAGAAAGGATTTGGAGAAGGCTACGGAAAAGGCATTGGTGAAGGCGGAAATGGGAAAGGATTTGGAGAAGGTTACGGAAAAGGCATTGGTGAAGGCGGAGATGGGAAAGGATTCCAAGAGGGCTATGGCAAAGGCATTGGTGAAGGTGGAGATGGGAAAGGATTTGGAGAGGGCTATGGAAAAGGTATTGGTGAAGGCAGTGATAGAGAAAGATTAAGAGAGGGCTATGGAAAAGGCATTGGTGAAGGCAGTGATGGTGAAGGGATTGGAATGGGCTATGGTGTTGGCAGAGGCTCTGGCAAAGGTGTTGGGCATGGAAAAGGCATTGGTGAAGGTAGTGGAAGAGGCGCTGGCAGTGGTATTTTTGGACGAGGTTCTGGAGATAGTGGATATGGGGAGGGTCGAGGAGTTGGTATTGGGACTGGGCATGGTGATAGCGGGTTTGAGGCCGGTTTTGGCGTCGGCATACGGTCTGGTTACGGAAGCAATTACGGTGGGGGCTTTTACGTTCCTCTCCCAGGTTACGGTTGTAGTTACCCAAGTAAGCCGGACCCCGATCACTCAATTGATTGGTACCAAGTTTGCAAAGCATGTAGTTACCCGGGTGCGCCGGGCTGTGGCTGCCCTGATAGCTCACTTTATTGGTACCATATCTGCAACATTTATGGTGTCCTCCACCGAGCAGGCCAGGGTGGACAAGGAGAACCCATGCAACCAGATTCATCAACCAACACACCAAATGCTGCAAAGCTACATAACTATAGAACCTTATGAAGTCTGTAGTAAAAGCTTAAGAAAATAAAATACTCGTGCAATTCTAATGAAGCCTCTACTCACTCTACCATGCTATGCTTGATTGAATTTCCAACTTATAATCACAGAAGACGTGTATAAGACGAGGATATTTGATCAAACCGGGCAAAAACTTGCCCCGGCGGTACATTCATCACCTTGATAAGTAACACCAGTAAGATGTCTCATTGTCAAGTTACATTCGAATATCACCCCAAGCTCGCATCATTGATCACTAGTCAGTGACACACTAAATTTCATATATATAGCTATTACATCAAATATTTACATTCTAACTGCAATATCGTGTCGCATTGTTACATCCCGCGAGTATTCTATTACCTCTACGCCCTTTTAAGTATTTTTCATAGTACATATGGAGGGAAGCAAAATATACACAATTCCCATTTCTAATACTTTCTCATTCAATTGGATCCCAAATTCTTAGTCATGCGATTTTTCGTTACCATCATTGCTGAGCAATGCTTCATTCCCTTCTAGCTGGCATTGATGCGGATCTTTGAAAACCTTCTGTTTGAATAGTCAATGAAACCGATGAAGAAGAAATAGAAGCCGATGCTTGAAGAAGGGGTGTAGCTGGCGTGCTTGAGGTTTCGTTATCAACTGGGCAAGGACTGGCCGGAGAACTAGAAACCGGTTGCATTTCAATTCCATTATGCGTATTAGCATCATCTGCAGGGCAATCAAGCGTTTGATCATCATCTTCCTCGAGCGATACTAATGTGCTTGTTTCTGTGCGTATGGTTGAACCATCGTTGGATATGCCTAGCCTTCTTCTTCTTCTAGCTGCCTCTCCCCATCCATGAATTGTTTCTCTTATCCTTTGTGGAATTATTGCCGCCTTATAATTTGTTCCCATCTGAAAATAAACGTGAAATACAAATACATGAGTTGGAGTTTCATCAATGACATGTATGTATAATATATGTATATCTGGCTGTACCTGAGTAACCAAGGCATACAGTGGCAAGGTGATGTAGCTGCACAAGAACTGCCCGGCGAACCTATAAAATGATTACAGTAATATAAAACCCGTGATTGACAACATACTCGATATGGTAGGTTAACGTAAGTCACGTAACTAGTCAAATTGTTTGCATACCCTAAAATCAGCCTCATATACACGAGCCAATGCTTTCGGATAAAGCAAGAATTATACCCAAACTGCCACTGTAACCAAATAAACATGAAATTTAGTGGCCTTAAATGACTGAACAAGTTGTTTTCAACTTCCAACACTCTCCAGTGAGTACAAATTTAATCATGGAAAAGGAATTACCCAAAACCAAAAGAATGTAGCCAATTCAAATGCATTCTGCAAAATCAAAAGAGATAGAACGAAAAACCACATGTACATTAGTTCTATAATTCGGATTTGTGAGTGCAGGTTGTTAAAGAACATTATGATACAATAAAAAAAGAAACGACTGGCATTACGATCACCATTGCAAACCTGGAATAAACAAAAATGGATCAAGGACAACAAAAGTTCGGGCTTCTTGAACCAGAAAAGATCATCCCGAGGCCTCAGCTTTGCTTCTCGACGAGATCCAGTTATACCAGCATTCTCCAATGCTAGGGTTGCAATAATATGCTGCAGCTTCATTCCCACAAGCAGAACTAGCTGCATAGGAACATACAATTTAAATTACATAAGACGAGAAGCACAGGACTAACAGATTGAGAGAGAAGTTCAAAGTCAGAAAATTCACTACTATAGTAGCTCCACCCTGTGGATATTACATCTCAAATGCAAACTTCAAAAGTGTCTGTCTGTCAATGCAAATTTTTGCTAGCATCTTAGACATCATTTTTTGAGTGAATATGTGACAAACCAAAACTGAAAAGGATATGAGTAAATCTGTACTTACCGCAATTGGAATGATTGCAATCCAGAAATAAAGATTAGAGCCTGCCATAGGTCACAGAAAACAGTCACATTTTAGAGTTTTCAAGACCGATAATAATATTACGAATTTATGATCCTCCAACTGGCAGTTAGAAGAGTATCACCGTAAAGAAGCACGCAAGCTACAATTACTACTGAAGGTGACTACAGGTAAATCCTTTCGAGTTCTATGCATACCTTTTACATTAAGCAGCATGAAAGCAACAACAAATCCCCAGAGTGTGGCACTGCAAGAGATTTAAGAAAATTCAGTTAGCTATTCGTTCTCTGTGGAATTCAACTATCCAAACCTGTAAGTAGTAACAAAATTCAATAACAGAAGTTTGTGATCAGCAGAATTTGAATTAGGTAAAAATTTACTTGAATGCTTCTTGTTATTATTGTTGTTATTGCTCTAAATTTCTCTTCTTGTTCCACCTCACCAGATACACAGTTGTCCAACTCCAAACCCAATACAATTCCTAACACATTGCAACTGTACTACGAGAGCTGACGGATAGTTTGGAAGTATCAAATACCTTACATGGACTTTGAAGATTCTTTTCTATTAGTATCGGATCTCCACTATTTCCACGGTTAAATGGTAGTTCTTTCCTGACAATATTTATCTTTCTTCACGTTGAGTTCATACACAAGGACAGTAGTTGCCACAAAGAAGTAGCAATCACAACAAAAAACACTTGTGCAATTAAGCTGTTAACCAACATTAATTCGCACAACCTAAGGTGTCAAAGGTTGTTCTAACTGATTTATTCAGCAATCTGCAACAAACCTGAAGGCAAGAAGCGCCTTGAACTATATTGTTACAACCTTATGTAGGACTTTTGGCTTCTAGAAGAAGCAGTCGGTATAATAAAGCTACAACCACCATTTGAATTATCACTTCCATCACTATTGTCCCTTTTTCTTTCCATTCAAAAATTAAGCGATGTGGTCTGGTTCAACCACTAGACCAGCCCTTGGAGCATGCGTGGATTCACTATTAAGTTATCCCTTCCATAAGGACTTCCAGCAACTATCTAAACTAACAAAATTGTTATTCCATTGAAAAAAATATAACTTCACAATTTGCATAATATTAAATGCCAACTAACAAGACAGCACCACCGCGTATAAACAAATATTAAAATTAAATATTTGCAGTCATGATAACATTCATTCATAACAGAAGAAACTTATAACTTACCTTACACCAACAATCCTTTGGAATTCCTCTTCCATAGACCGAATCATATAGCTGTGAAAATCATACTTTGGCGAAAGGTTGTGATTCTGGCATGAGTAAGAGAAGAAAAGAGCAAACATTTACTAAACGGTGGTTAAAAATTGGCATTCCTAGCATATTCGTATGTACCAGCAAAATACTTACAGTGTTAGATTACCTAAACATACATATAATATGAAAGAACAATAGCAAACGAAACCAGTTTTACGGTATTCTACATACAACATACAAACAAATTCTGCCGAAAAATGAAAAATTACCAACATAAAATTCTTTTGGACACCATGGCTCCTGGCACATGCCATGAATTGATACAAAAATAAACATAAAATCATATTCGCTTATATATTATCGTAAGAACACTCTTAGTTGTTTATTCATTTAACATTATGTGTTTGTCTTATGATTATTGTTAACTGTTATAAAACATGCAATGCAAGTTTTTATCACAGTAGGTTTGAAGGTGTACGGTGAAAACCATATCACTAAGGGCCAACAGTGAACATTAAACTGGGAAATTTACAAACAAAAGAAAAACAAAATGAGGAAGACTCGTTCTACTCTTCGGATGAATGAAAATACTAGATACCATGATGAAACCCTTGCGGAGTGTTAAATAGTCAGCACAAACCACTGAACGCCCGAATTGCCGGAAGAAACATATCTGTACAACAAAACATATCAACTATAAAAAGACCTTGAATTGAAGCAGCTGCTTCCGGATGCCAAGAAACACAAAGAAACCTAAATTATAATCATATAAAAGGAAGAAAAGCAGCCATCGGTTTTCATTTTTCTTTTCTTGGAAACTCAACGTAGGCATGTTATGCTTATCGAACATAAAAGGCTTCGTCTGTAAGAAATTAAGAATGTAAAACAACAAAGAATGGAGTTACCAATGTATTTAAGAAAAGAGAGATGCACCTACCGCCCAGATAAAAATGTCATTCCTGACAACAGGAGTTGACGGATTTACAAAGCTAGACTGCCTTCGCATTGTCAACTGCCGTGTGATCTCTGTTACAGAGTATATCTACAATCATCTCATAGGTAATTTGAAAATCCACGCCACATGGATCATAAAAGTTCAAGCACTCAAATATTCTGTCTCTTTCTTAACAAGGGGACCAATAAGCTGATCTATAAATAATTCTATCAATGCGAAGTCAGAGCTTACCAGTCAATGAATCATGTCGGTCCTTTCGAGCGTCATCCTCCCACACTCTCCAGCTGTGAATCTGATCACATTATTACAATGTCAAACAGTAATCGTAACAAAAATAGTATTTCAACGTTCTATTCTCATCTTGTGTTTCAATAAATACCCAATCATCAATTCAACACGTATATAGCATATTATGCACTAGAGAGAAGTAATATTAAAGACCAATGAAATTCCCTTCAACCAGATAGAAGTTTAAGAGAAGTGCAAGTGTGTGCATACTGTAGATAAACACAATGCCTGACATACGACACTCTAGATCCACAAGCTTGCGGCGAATGCAAGCCTGAACGAATAGTAGTTATAATACAAGTTCCTGAACAACTAGGTTGACCGTTGATGGCAGTTAAGAGAATATAGACCTTGTTTCACTGAACTTCTTGCAAAACTAATAGTTGGCAATTCTTTCTCTACCTTTAACGTAAAAAAGAAAAGTTTACCCTTTTGTTTTGAGTTCTTTCAATAGAAATCAGTAGACAAGTTCTTACTCAGGGAAAATGGACACTTTCACCTTCTATGTTTACTTAATTTCACAAATTGGCCACCAAAACATTAGACAGCTTATCAGTATTCACTAGTAACTACACTATCCACTATCCAGAAGAAAAGCAGTTTACCGATACTGGCAGGTTTCACCACTGTACCTAATACGGTCTGGATGGAAAAGATGGAGAATAAGTAGAAAAATGAAAAAAATTCTAACCTTCACTATTGCCAGCAACATCGTTAAGCAGCTGTAGGATATATGTGTTATTGCCATGATAAAGATGAAGCGATGCAACTGCTCAAGGCCTTCATAAGAAACAATTGGTTCATAACCCTGTTCAAACAAATAGTTTTACATTTAACCAAGATTGTCCGTTAAGACATAACTTATAGTTCGTGGTAAATAGGAGAGAAAAGACAGGAAGAAGTCCAAAATAATTTCCTTCAGCATTTAACTCATATTCAACAATTTCCAAGAACCAAGTAAATATAGTGCGCCAGAAAAAAGGAAAAAAAAAAAAAACTCATCATAGACTGATAGAAGTGAAAATGGTCTCAGAAATTTAGAACAGAACTTTAGTTTGATTGCTATACATGGATAAGTTAGGCACCTCTTTGCAGGGAATACGGTTTTCTTGGGACGAATTATTTTCAATTTCTTCATTAATCTCATACCGAGAGCATGGTGTTAAACTGCTATCGTAGAACTTTGATGGAATGCAAATATTGGATATCATGCTTGAGGTAGCCGTCAAAAGGAGAGAGATAAACCCAAGTAACATCAACTCTGGAGGCAGCAGGACAAAATGTGAAACTTTACAAGTGAGAAGTATAATATGAAATTATTTTGTTAAATGCCTTTGCCAGAAACACATCAATAAGAATTTCTCAGATCGTTCAGGAGGTTAAAACTGCACTTTAGGTCATATACCTTCCTTCATTTTCTCCACAGCTTCAACCAAGGGCTTACGATCAGTTTTCCGCAGCCACTGAAACCAATAGAACATACACACACGAAACAATTATATGTATAATCAAAATCTGAATTAACGTTGCATGCATTTCTAAGTTTGATTCATGAATTAAGCCACAATAGAAAATTTTATGTCAACTAATCTTCTTAATTCCACTTAAGTATCCAATAGCTTAAAAAACAAGGAAGAAAAACAAAGTTCATGAAAACTGCTAGAGTATCACTTACAGAGCTTAGCCTATGGATTCCGCGCTCAACAAGCAGAGAAGCAGCCAACAAAATTGTCAACACAGTAGCAACAGACCATGTTGGAATCAAGGCCAACGATCGCATTTCTTGTTCATTTTTCGCCATTCTGAATTACTCCCCTACTCAAACACTATGTAATCTATTCCAAATGAAATATAACTTTAAAAAAGGGTAGGATCATAAAAAATGCACCTTAATTGTTCAACAGAACCAAGATTACAACAATAGCATACCAAAAGCTACTCCAACCACATCATCCTACAGACTATGAACAGAAATTCCACATGCTCTCTGATCTCAAACCACACCAACGACATTCACAAGGAAAATACAAAATATGGGTTCTCTGCATTTCTAACATTTAAACTAAAAAAATTCACTGCCAACTAATCATAAATGTGAACGCAAACTGTAAGAACTACAAAAAGGTCAGTAAAAAACCCTTCCAAATTTCCAAAAATTGAGAAAAAATCAACTTCAACAAGCAATATAAGATGGACTAATTAAGTAAACCTGAGAATAATTCCAAGTACCTCTGTTGCTATTTTTACGCTTCAACTTGCAATCTCATTTTCCACCCACCAAAAAGAGAGAAAGCCAGAAAAAGTTCCAAAAAAGGAGCAATTTTTCCTCCTTTTTATGCAAATTACTCACTCTCTGCAGACTCTTGTGACCAAAAACGCACTTTCCTCCAACCCTTTTGGCCTTTATCCTTCCTGGTAAATATTCAGGAATACAAGGCCCAAAAGAACACAACTTTCTTCTTACCACATTCAGCCTGGATCTCATTCAACACGCAAAACAGGGCAGATTCAAGGGATCATACAAAACCCAAAACTCAGTGCTGACTGAAAGTTGCAAAACCCAGAAACTCTAATCCTTTTTTTCTCAGTGGTTTCCTTGTAAAAATATGATTTTTCTTGGGTCTAAAAAGATACAAAAATATGGGACCAAAAATGGCGAAAAGAAAGAAACCTTCTGCTTTTTCTTCTTTGTGGTTTTATACTTTTGTGGCCAACACCACCTTGTTTGAATCATAAAACACCTGGGACCTTCACCAGAAGAGATCTTACTCTCCCTCCCTCTTTATTTTTCTTCTTTTGTCCTTTGATGGAGTATAAACATTTAAAGTTAGGAATGGTAATTCTCAATGTGGACTACTTTTGCCACAAGCCCGAAATGATCTGCATTAAGAAGGACTGAAACGGCTAATTTTGCTTTTGTTCAAAGCACTACTAAAAGCTCTTTTGCCGTCATTTCATTTCTTATTTTTGTAAAATACGTCATTTCACTTTACAATGTTACATTATTTTAGCCGTAACATCAGACTTTCACAATTTTTAATTTCTTAACATTAGCTATTCAAATATGTATAAAAAATTTGATTCCGATTCATTCTTGTCCAATCCGACATCTTGTTTCTCAAAAAATAGATTAACTCGTTATCAAAAATTGAATCTTTAATTTTTTGTGAGGCCCACATTAGTGTTCGTCTCGCTCTCGTCTGTTCGTTTCGGGAAGTGACTTGCATTCCACTCCGCATATGTAAAGAAGCGCTAAATTACATTTCACCATGTCCTCCCTGCATCTTGTAATAACTCAAAATTCAGAAGAAAATAAATTAAATGTTTCCTCTCCTACACTTTAACAGTCTACCATATATTTATATTATAATTATATATATATATATATCTATATATATGTGTGTGTGTGTGTGTGTGTGTGTGTGTGTGTGAAATCCTTGCACATCTGTCATGATTCATGACTCCTTTTGCTAAACTATTTTATTTTAGCTAATCTGTACTATTTAATCTTTTAATTTTCATTTGAAATCAACCCTACAAAAAAAATTTAAATCAAATATCGTTTGATCATTTAAATGTATTAAGTAAATCAATGATGTAGGTATCAAGTAGCATATTTATAATGAACCATTGATACATTTCATACATTTAGATGACTAAACGATATTTGATATAAATGACTTTTAGTAAGAATGATCTTCAAATGAAGATTATAAGATTGAACTGTCACGATTGTGAAAGTTTTATGGTGAGGATACGTTGCAAGTAAGTGGGGGATGACCTCATCCCTTAAGGGAGGAATGCAAGCATTATTCCTCTTTTTTATTCTCCTACACTCTCTTGTTTATTTACATTCGTTGATTCACCATTGATTTATTCAATCTTGTGGCTATAAATAAGAGATAAAGTGCAAGAAGATAAATATAGCGCATGAAAATCAATAATTGTCTTAGAAAAAAAAAAAAAAGGGTTAAGTCCAGATAACTATCCAACCTTTAGAGATGATTCTAAATTTGGTCCTAACATTTTAAAACATTTCAAATAACAATATGAAGTTTTGAAAAATGAACATCTATTAGGTTCACTAGCATTCAATGATGATATGGACAAATATTAAGTGTGTTTTAACTCTTATGTCATTTGGGGGATTAGAACTCCAAAGACGTCAATTAGTGAAAACTAACTTTAGTATTTATGCACTTTGTCATTTAATGTTAGTAATGTCATAACTTAATATTGGTAAAGTCTCGAAGGACCGACCAAATGTTTAATTTTCAAACATTAAGTAGAAAAGTTGAAATTAATTTGGAATCACAAAAGAAAAACCACTAATCATACATTTTGAACTATGAAATAGACACTTGAACCATTGATCGAACTAAGCTCATTATGAAATTTGGGGGCGGGCCCGATTCATGGAAAACAATCTATTTTCTCGCTAAAAATTTTAATCTCAATCAATCAATGATTTAAAGTGATTGGTAATACATAACAAAGTTGATGCTGATATTGAGCCACCTGGTGTATTATTGGACGGAGGAAGATTCTCTACCCTCCTAATTTCTCTACCTTTCTATGCCCTCCTATTTGAACATTTATGGTTAAACCATGTCAACATCTTATATTAATTTTTTATAGAGATAATAAGACAAAAAATAATGTGTAAGAGAATGGGATGGAAGGGGATGAGGATAAGAGAGTAGAGAATCCTCCTCTTTATTGGACTGCCCCTTATTGACAAAATCAAGTGAAAAGGAGATGGCGGCAGCCAATTGTCGTATGTATTTGTAATTTTACCCTTTTGTACATATGCGAGAGAAGATCCTCGTCGGATCCTCTTTAAGAGGATCACAAAGATCCTCCAATTATATTCGTTCATCGTACATCGTGTGGTCAATTTTCGTCAAGTACTATTTATGTTCAATTTTAAATAAAAAAAATTTAGTGATTTCTGATCGTACGATGTACGATAAACAGATGTAATTTAAGGATATCTAGTGCTCACAAAGAGGATGAGGATGCTCACTCTACTCATTAACTTTCCCGACCCAAAGAGGATGAGGATGCTCAGTCTACGCATTAACTTTCCCGACCCCTCCATCAAGGAGTGATTGGCGCCAAAAGTCAAACAATCGATCGACGATAGGCATGCATGCATGAATCATGATATCACGACACACTTTTTCTTTTGACAGAGAATATGCGTGACACTTTTTAAAGGAGCCTACCAGTCTACGCCCGCCATGCAGTTGTAGTTCACATATTCTACGGTATAACTAGTATGCATATTGCTTTTCTACGAGAAAGGAACTTGGTTGTTGAAAAAATCAACAACAGTTTTTGTTGGTTAACAAATCACAGATAAATACGTGTATAATTTGTAATTTAAAAATTAATTAATTGGATACGTGTTCATATATGATTGGTCAGCAGTCAAATTCTATTCTTTCTTTGAGCCCTATTTTCTGAAATCCGCTGAACTTGTAACCTCTTGTCAATTTACTCCTATAAACTTTAATTTGAGCTAATTACTTTCCTAAATTTTTATCTATGATCAAATTCTCATTTTCCATTAAATCTCACACATTTCATTCATGATTCCGTTATTTTGGAGGGCAAAATTGTCATTTCGATCCAAACATTTCTTTCCCCTTTTGAATTAGCATCTAATGGTAAAACAGAGAAGAGAACGATACGAAAACAGTCAAATGTGGGGGGAAAGAGAGAGAGAGAGAGAGCAATGAGGAAGTTGTTAGTGTGGCGGAAGGTGGGCTGCGAGAAGGTGGGTTTCGGCAGATACCTCTTTCTTTGACAAAAAAACTCTAGATATTGTTGAGTGTATGGGATAGTACAGTTGTTTTAATCATTAAATCTTAATTTTTATAATTTTAAACAAATATTTAAAAGTTAAATACTCGAAGTACCCTATCCTCCGAGGCATCCTAGATGCTCCCTTCTTTGACATGTGGAAAGTTCTGGTATGTATATTATAATGTTAACAAATGAAAAGAGGTGAAGAAAAAGGTTAAGTACAAATTCTATATTCTGATTTTATTGACAAAAATTAATGAAGAAGATGGCAAACTGCCAAGACGACCAACACGAAAAGGCCGCATCTTGCAAAACCTATATTTACTAATTAAGTTACAATGTATATTTATAAGGTCCTAATTCAGGATGGGGTTCTACTTTGTTAGCATCTCAACTTATTTTGCTGGTAGGCACGCAAGATCTCGTGCTAAAGAGCATGAAGGTTCGACTTCTCTTTTAAGGCATAATATTAAATATTGAGAATGCTTATTTATTTGGAATAAGTTTGGCAGCGGATCACGAAATCTTGGTTCAAACCTTTCGCTATGGAGGCAGTCAATCAATATAGATTGACCCGAAATCTGATTCAAATCCAATATAGCACCTATGGGCACATAAGAAATGTATTGAATTGATTCTTTTTAATGGATAGATCCGATCGCAACTTCGAATTTGGAATTCAAAGGAATCAAATAGGAAATGATACTCTGAATCATTAAACTATGATGGAATAAACGATCAATCAATATTTATCAAATTTGAAAACGAGTCAGAAGAAATGGTTCGATCCTCTAATTTTTATTTCTCGAACCGAGAGATTCATGAATCAGGATCCTAATGCATATGCAATTGCTTTAAGGTATTGTCACATCAGCATTTTTGGGTCATGTTATATTGATATTTTTTTTATGAACTTGATTTTTTCACAGTTCGAAGTTTCAACTGAAGTGATTATGAATTTCAAATTGTCTGTGCTAAAGACGTGTTTGTCTGTTAGGGTTGAGTGGAAACACTAACAAACATGAAGGTGTTGTAGTGATGTGAATCTTGAGGTGGCTGGCTATGCAACTATAGGTGGCTTTTCTCCAGGCTTAGGTCCAAACTCAAGGTCAAGAGTGGGTGACTAGAATTGATAAAGGGCTGGCTCTAGCCAAGGATATTCTGTTGGGCTGTCTCATTAAGGAAACTCTCCCACTTCATGCGATCAGATGGAATAGAAGAGTCTTGTGCTTGTGTGAGTAGTACCTGACGAATGACGTAATCAGGTATCCCTTTTCAAGTGTAATACGTAACCAAGACATTGTATATGTATTATCCTTTCTTTTAAAAGGTTAAAAGCTTAGAAGTCTAAACAACATTAGTCAGACACTATTAATCATGTTCGACTCGCAATTTCGTGGGTTCCATGAAGTTTGTTCCCATCAGCTTGCACATTGGCAGGGATCTTCATGCTTTGCATGATAGCTTTGGGAAGAGGTTTATCTAGTCCTTAAGATGATCCCCGCCGCCAATGGCCGGCATCCTCAATACCCACCGATTAGTCGAGTCGTACTTCTCGTCCTGAAGTTTTAGAATATGTCCTAAAATATAAAAAATAAAAATAAAATTGTCCTAATTGCAACCCTAAAGGGAGCCTACCATTACAAGGACAAGTAACTTCTATGGCGGATTTGGTCGCAACACACCATGCGTTTCAGCACCAGGCCTACGTGAAGTTTGAAACTCGTTTCACTTCGCCGGGTTTGAAACCTACTTTATGGTTTTCAATTGGGAAATTTAATGGTTGTCAAATGAAATGATGTGTTATGAATAAAAAATAAGTACATTAATCAACACTTAAGTAATAATTCAATCGTCAACATCTACATCATTTGAGTTACAAAATTTGGTTTATAAATTTGATCTCTCTAACATTATCCTAACTAAATTACTTAATACACGTGGATTTTAGAAACAAAAAATTGGATTCAATAATGATACCAAACAGGCTCAAGGTTCCAAGGAACATTGTGCCATTCTTTTAAATTGACATGCCAACAAATGCATAATGGCTATCATGCTGAAAATTGTAACAAACTTTCTAGGATAATGCTAGGGAGGCTAAAGTTTTAAACTAAATTGCAAATCAAATTATGTGTAACATGTTAATTAGGAAAATGTTAGGGAGATCAAATTATTTAAACTGAATTTGCAAATCAAATTATATGTTTGTAGATGATTGGATTATTAACTAAATGTTGACTAACGTGCTTTTTTCTTATTGGTCAAACATCATTTGGTTTAAAAAATTTGATCTCCCTAACATTACCCCATTAATCAACACTAATAATTCAATCATCAACATTCACATCATTCGGTTTACAAACTTTAGTCTAGAGATTTGCTCTTTCTAGCACTAATCTTTCTATGGTTTATTGTTTAGGGTGGTGTTATCTTTTTAGCACTAAACTTTGGTCTAGAGATTTACTTTTCACACAAATCTCTTAATTTCCAGCCGCCGTATCAAATGAATTGAAAATAATCAAATGACAGAAATTAACATTAGTATGTAGAAGGTAAAAACAAGCATGTGGCACCACCCTATTGTTTGTATGACTCTTAAACTAGCCGCTTACCAAAGAAAAATTACCACAACGAAACACTAACAAGCTTGAAAGTGGTTACAACTAACGAGCATAGGTGCTTTCTGGAGAAGCAATCCCATTCAAGCACTAATCTTAACGTGATTGAGAAACAGAATGGTTCATAGGTGAGCAAAACACAAAACAAACATCAAGTTTAATACCACTTCATAAAAGATTTCACAGTTGAAAAAAACCCAAACAAAATAAATTACTCGTACTTGTTTTCGAGATGAGGTTCGTCTGAAAAGAAAACGCTAACATAACATTTATGGACTACAAAAACACCTTCCGTGACACACGTGTTGGAGGCTTAGTTGTCTTCAGAATCCTCAGACTGTTCAGCCGCGTCATCCTCGGAGTCACTGTGCTCAGATACTTCATCGTCCGACTCTGGAGACTTCTCGGATATTTCAGTGGCTGGGACCTGTTCGGGTCCTTCATCGCCCTTTAACTCTTCTTCACTGAAAAGATCCCTTTGCACAGGGATAGTGCTCACCTTCTGAGATGCAATAATATCTCCAATGGCTCGATAAGCTGCAGCCTGATTGTTATCTTCCACAGTGTCTTCTTTATTGTGATTTATATCAGGCTCCCCCATTGGCGATTCTCTTTTTGGTGGTGGCACAAAAAATGGTATCTTACCCCTCTGCCAGTCGTGGAGGACCATCTTTGCTGCAGTCATCAAGTCGGGTTCACCACCCTGGAAGCACACCAGCCAAAAATTTAGTAGACGCATAAACATTGAAAAAGCAAAGAAACGAAAGAACAAGATATAGTTAACATTTGTTGAAGTTGCCGACTATCAGATTGTGGACGAGCATAATTAGTTTTCTAATGATGGTCAACCATCATAAGGTGTAAATGATGTTCAACTAGCATAAGGGAGGAAAGAAAAGATGCATGACAAAACACCAATTATGTCGAAGCAATGCAACTCTTCTGCTCAACTTGTCAAAGACCGCAATTTCCCTGCAGGGTTCGACTTATCTATCACAAACTCACAGTTACACAAAATCCAAGCGACTAACATTGACAGGAAAAATACATCTTCCTAAAGAAAGAGCCACACACTAGGAGCTTTCAATATTCATCTATATAGTGCTTTCTTTCCAGATTTGTATTGCAGACTGAATTTGAGCCGCCCATTCAGGCAAAGTTAAGTAGGACAAGCCTGATCAATGTTCCAGTCATTAGCAAACGACATCTTCCTATCAATGTTTTAAAAGACGCGCCCCGTGGCGTGCCTAGACGGCTTTGGAGGCGGGGATGGAGTGATAACGCCTCTGCCCAGTGGGAGTGGGCGAAAACTCACCGAGGCATGGTTGAGGCGAGACTAGGCGGCTAAGGCGCGCCTAAAGGCAGTTGGCGGGCGTTCCCAGATCCATCCGCGACCCAAAATCGAAGTCAACTGCTCTGTTTTCAAGCTCTGCCCTCTGGGTTTAGGGTTGCAGGCTGTGCGGCGTCTTCACGAGGAAGACGACCGCGAAGAAGAAGAGGGATTTTTTGTTTTTTTTCCCGAAGACTTGGCCCAAAACAACGTCGTTTTGGCCAAGTATTTAATTTTTTTTTAAATGACTTGGCCCAAAACGACGTCGTTTTGGCCAAGTTTGTTTTTCTTTTATTTTTAAAACCCCAAGAGTCTCTGTTTCCTCTGTTTTTCTCACATGTTTCCTCTGTTTTTTTCAGCAATCCTCTATTATTTAAGGTCCCGTAAGGCTTCACCTCACGCCTAGGTTGGGCTATCCCTCGGACGCCTCGCCCACGCCTCACGCTTTTAATACATTGCTTCCTATACGTTAAAAGTAACACGCATGTTTGTGTCTGCGTGTACATATATGTATGTAGATAATTTGAGAAACACCAATTGACCAGATCTGAGCAAGGAAATTTCCCAAAGCATTGCAGGAACTAAGGGTAGAAATGTTATGACTAGTGGGATAATTAGAAAGCATTATTAAGTAGCGAGTTACCTTCAAAAGTTTGCCTGACAATTTGCATAGCTGACACAGGAAGTCATTATCATCCTCCCTGAGAACATAGGACCATTAAAATACAGTTACGTGTCACTCTCTGAGAATATATGTTCAATTTGCAGAATTTGTGTAAAAAAGAAAATTACAAAGTACATAGATCATGTGAAAAATTATTGCAATCTGAATGAGGTGAGAACGAAAATAACAGAATAAAAGGCCACATAATACACCCTTAGTAACAGGACACAAACATCAAAATCCAACACAAAGACAAAGAAGCATACCAGTTGTCTATCTTATATGCTCTTTTCAGGTGGATCTTCTTAACTCGTTTTAGAACTTCTCCTATGTGTTCTGTAGCATCCTGCAAATTTGTAACACGTACCTAGCAAAATAGACCCAAATTATTTACCATCTGATGAGCATAATATTACATTTTTAGGCAAACATTAAGCGCAGGCTCCAAGTCCGTAGAGAACAAGGAAACGGAAATGTTAAAGGGGTTAAACTAGTACAGCAGGAAGATTGTACTTTCGAACCAATCTAAAATATAACTTGGACAAAGATAAAGAAAGTACAGCAGGGAGATACACAATACGACATTGCATGCAACAAGTGACATTCTATGTATATGCATACGTGCATGTATAGAGAGGAATTCACTTATGTGGCTGCACAATTACTGCACAAGCATCAGAGACAAATGCTCTATGTAGAGAGGGATATGTTACTGACACTCCAAAAAAAGTCACTCTGCACACTCTAGTGACTTGTCTATAAACCAGAAGCAAAGTTCACAAACGAGCAATTTAAAGACAATATTGGTAGTAAATCAATATTTCCAAAACGATAACCCAAAATATTGTTTACAGTCAATACTTAAAAGATCGATGAGAAAAACAAAAAAGTAAAATTCACTATTAGGAGCTACACAAGGAAAAACAGAAGAAGCATACCACGCCCTTCAGTACAATATCTGTTTCAGAATCACCACTTTGATAGACAACTCCAGGGCAATCAATCAAGAAAATCCTCTTTGTGAGTGTTATATACTGCCACACTTTAGTCTCCCCTGGGATAGGAGCAACTTTGCAAACCTGTTGAGCAATGAACAAAAAATTATTTCAGCCACCCAGTAATAGAATAGCTAGAAAGACAAACCACAACTAAGAAGCTTGTTATATGATTTACAGCTTTCAGTATCTTCTAAAAGTACATCCTATGGATCGTGCGTGCACAAGTATATGAATGTGCTGATGCTAGACAGGCATGCAGAGGAATTGGAATCGGTATGTGGCATATCGTACCCCACAAGTAAAAAAAAAAATAAAAAAATAAAAACCAACAATTATCCGATGGAAACTTGCCTCCAACTACAGTGGATGGCAACCTAAGAATTCGAACTAAAACCAGATGGCATCAAACTACAATTATTTTTATCTATTGAGAAACATGCATCAGGCTACAATGTACACAATCTACAAACCCCCAGAATAAAAAATGAAATCCTCTAGATCATGGTTGAGGAATATAATGCTATTTGATTTTATGAAACATAGCAGGATTCAATTAAATCCATTGACATTGCAAAATAGTGGTGAGTCCAAATTTTGTGCCTTAGCAAATGAACACACATGTACAAAATCTTTACAAATGGAAATGCAAGCAGAAAACCAGAATCAGCAATGGTGTTGAAGATATTACATTTTTAGTTCGCAATGTGTTGATAACAGATGACTTTCCAACATTGGGATACCCAACAAATCCCACAGAAATGGCCTGCTTGTCACTTTTCAAACGGGCGAATTGTCTCAAAACTGATAGAAGAGTTCCCTAAGTGCAAATAAATTAAACAAAATCAGCAGATTCCACAGAAAGCAAGAAAAATTAGGAATACACAGTTACACACACACACACACACATAGCGAGAGAGAGTTCATAAAACTTGACTTATGGAAGTCCAAAAGGGATCATAAATTCTTAACAAATTCTTATTCCACCATATACTTTCATAAAACTCAATATATAAAGGCATAAAGGTTAACAGAAGGTACCTTGCCAAATGATTTATTGACGCTAGCATGAAATGCAATAGTTGGAAATTCAGTCTTTAATACGTTCAACCAACGGCTAAGCACCCATGAAGGAACCAAATCACACTGTAGAATCAAAGTAAAAATATTGTTAAACAAAATTAAAAGTAAGCACCTTCAATTCAAGAGGACCCCAAAACACAACCAACCTTGTTTAACAAAAGAATTAAGTGTTTATGCGTGCAATGCTCTTTCAAATGCTTCTCTAAGTGGTGGCATCTTGTACCTTGTGGGTCCCTTGCATCCAAAACCTGAAATGAGGGGAAAAAAAAGGCAAGGCTGTGGTGGTCACATTCATATTGGCTGACTGTACCATGTTGACGTGGACAAACATAAGATAATACTAGCAAAAGACTAAAAATAACCTGGTTTTGATGATTAATAATTATCAACTCTTAAAGAAACACACGGAAAAACAATAGATTTCAAGCCACGTGACACATTTAATGCAGAATTTGCCTTCATGTAAACATTTTCCTAACCTAACAAAAAAAAGCATAGCACAAAGTAATCCATGTTTACAATGCTACACTGTTCACCATACATGTAATGAATAATATCCAAGAACTGAAATTAACTTTGTCAGCAAAAGTACATGTATGGAATTAGTTTCTCTCCAAATCAATGAAAAAGAGAAATACCAACCTGGACAACCACATCAGAAGAGTCTATCACTTTGTAGAGCTCACCCCAAATACGTTTACTTTGGCCCTTCTCAAACATTGTATGCCGAACTAGGTCCCTAAATCCATCTGCTTCATTACCTTCTACAACACTGTCATCAGCATGCTTCTCCTGAAACACATCTACAGAGTTACAAACAAGATTTAGATGCAGACCATTTAAAAGTGGCAATACGAAAATGACAAATTTTTTTATTCTAACACATACCATACCAGACTAAAAGAAAATGCATAACATTAACTTGCACTTTTTACTTGCAAATGCTCCAGACTAAAGCATAAACATAAATACTAACCAAATAATCAAGCAATAGAACGAAATGGTTATTACAACTGGGAAGATCAAGAGCATATAAAATTTAAAGAAAGAAAAAATTACCCTGAGAACCATCAGCCTTCTTAGCTAAGGACTCATAATCTGCCGCAAGGAGCTTTGGACGTTTCCTCTTTGTCTTAGGTCCAAATACATCAGAAAATGTCTCTCTCTCTAGAAGATGAACTCTGGTTTGCTTCACAGAGGTTAAATCATGAACATAGCAAGTTAGAATACAACAACTAACTATGCCATCGGCCAAAAAAAACATATGCTATCTTCTTCTTCACATTCTAATGGAGTAAGGCATGCCAATTTAGGAAAACTGCAACCGGAATCCTTCATTGATTGAATCAAAATCATGAACACTTGGGCACCATTGCACCTATACAAAGAAACATCTCCAAACTCTATCTTTCTGAACTTTCTTTTCCATTTTTATGTGAAAATGAAGTCAACAATGCACAAGCCAATTGGTATTGCTGCACCTCACAGCAATATGCACATCGAAGCTTGATATTTTTATATCGCTCCAATATGAATGTAGCCAAAGGAAATGAAACAGAAATAGTATTTAACAACTGTGTTTCTTACAAAAATAGCATTCCAAAAGCAGCATACCTTCTGATGGTCATTCAAGAGAGACAACGGCAATTGCTTCCCCTTCAAAATAACATTGTAATTACTCGAAACCGTCCTACTGTGCTCCTCGCGGAAGATGTCAAGCTGCTGCTGAGACGCAACCCGAGTATTCCCTAAAAATTCAATAAACAATCACAGCTGTTCATAGACAAATCAAATTTACCAGCTTTTTCGATAATCAATTACAAAGCGAAAAGGCCAAAATTCAATGATTTGCAGCAAAATTCTAATCTCTCACACTACGTCCTTATCATATACGGTGCAATTATACATATACAGTGTATTCAGACGTATCTACGTACCAAACCAGCGGCGATCAGGCTGGATACGAGTGTTAGGCAGCTCCTTGGACTGGAACTCGTTCCTCAGGACCTTTCCCTTGCTGTTACGCTTGGGCCTGGTGTTGTACATCTTGAGGCGGCGGACAGTGGCGCCGGTACGCGCGTCCTTGTTCTTGGCCTTGGCATCGGAACGGTTTGCATCCAGAGAGTGCTTCGGCTTGCCGGAGATGTTGACCTTCCTCTCCGTCTTCTTCACCATCTTTGCGGTGGTGCCGAGAAAATGAGGGAAAATGGCTGAGATTTTGTATTGCGCAAAACCCTGCGACTAGGGTTTCGGAAAGGACGAGTTGAGGTGGAAGACGAGAAATTATAAAGTGACGGTGTGACGGAGATTGATGGACTGGACCAACAAAGTGAAATTAGCCCAAATGTCGGTGGGGCGGTCCAATAAAGTTGGGCTCACATCATACGCAATATTTAAAATATCAATATCGGTTAAGATATCGATTTAAAAATTTGTGAAAATATTGACGGAATGAATATCTTACTGATATCGGTTCTTTTAAATGAAAATAATAAAATTTTAAAATAAAGCTTTATAGAATGTTAATTATTGGTTGGGACGAAATATAAAAGTTTTTTCAATATTTAAACCGATATGTCAGAAATCGATAAAATATGTTGATTTTAGCCCAAATTTAGTTTCTCCGATATGAGATGAAGCTTGCTTCACCCTCCTTTCCTTGTCTTTTTCTAGTTTTTGGGATATTTTCATGGTAATATCGACAGTATTGAAGAAGTTTCAACCATTAATCATATGACAAGAAAATGAGAACACATTGTCATTCTCGCTTCCAAATGTGTTTGCTTTCCACAAAAGTAGTGGATTGTAACAGTAGTTATAAAGGAACACGTTCCTTTTCAATTTGGCTACGCCGTCCGTCACAACAAATTGTTTGTTTGAACTTTTCTTCATTGGTCAGTTCCAGGATACGAGTTGCTGGTGTGGTGGTGAAAGTAGGAAGCCAAGTGTCCAAGTTTAAGGTGAGGGATGAAGCATATTAGCTCACAAGCCCCAAATCTGAGTTTTGCTGAAGCTGCTAGCCTACCCCCGGCTATCGAGACAGTACGAAGGTCTCGAAAGAATTGAGTTTTTTGCTGGTAACTCCATCCTTGTTTTGGGAGGCGTTGGAGGAGTCGGAACACATGTTATTCAGGTAGAATGTTGATCTTATTTCTCAATCCAATGTCCTCATACTATATAGCCCAAATTCTATATGGAAATTTCTTTTTATTCAGGTGGTATTATAATCTAATAACTATGGATAGAAAATTCTAAGTTGAGTGTAGAATGGAAGGCACGTTGCTCTAATCAACTTGAGTAAGCGTAGTTTTGAGCTTCAACTGGGACAATCTTGGAGAAATTGAAGCCTTACTTTGGAGAGTGGGAAGATTAAGCACCATTTTCGAAGATGGTTGAAGCATTTGCCTACCTTGAAACCTCTAAAGCCACCGCAAAGGTGGTTGTGTCTCCCATCCCATGAGAGGGAGTGTACAAGCTCATGCAGGCAATCAGTTTGTGTTTGATGCATATTTGTTAATCTGCTAGTTGTTTTAACTAAAATGACTTGTAATAAAGCGGATATGCTCACTTATGCACTCGAGTTTGAATTTTTTCTTCATGCAATTTAGATTAGTTGTCAGTAGAAGCTTAAAGCTCGATCAAAATTCTGAAAATCATGAGTTGTAAAAGTATCTCCAACGTGTGATGTTGCAAGGTGGAACATGGAGATTACAATGTTCATCTTTAGAGCAATTCCACCTTTAACACAAATGCGCCAGCACCCAACGTATTTATCCACTCAGTAAACAGTGATAAACCTCAATGACCAGTAATAGGCCAAATGCATCTCCACCCCTAAAACTAAGGCCATCTTCAACCGAAAGGGTCCAGAGGGCCAGAGGGCCGAAAATAGCCCGAAAATCGTCTCTAACCGAGGGCTAGGCCAGAAGGCTCGTGGGCCCCACGGAATCTAAAAGGGCCAAAGGGTTAGAGGGCTGGCCCCTTCCAGCTAGCTAGCTAGCCTCGGGCTGGCTAGAATTTTTTTAAATGTGTCGGATTTCCTATCGATTACAACTGACAGGAATAATTTAGATTATTTCAATAGTGTCGGTTATAACCGACACGCATAGTGATTTAAATATTACGGCTAGACATGAATATTTTTGATCAATTACTATTCCTGTCGGTTATAACCGACACAAATAGTATGAAATTTTTTTAATACAACGGTTAGCTGATTGCTTTATTTATTTATTTATTTATTTTGAATTTAAACCTTTTTTTTTCTTCTATAAATATGGTGAAGCTCTTTCAATTCTTCACTTCATCTGCAATATTTCTTTCAATTTTTCAATAATTTCCTTCAATATTTTTTCAATTATTTCCTTCAATATTTCCTTTAATTTTTTCAATAAAAATGGCCTCATATGCAATGAAAGGTAGGGCTTGGACCCGAAAAGAAGATGAAGCTTTTTGCAGGGCTTACAGATGGGTCTCGAAAGATAGTGTGAGGGGGATTTCTCAAACAAGTAAAGGTGTTTGGAGTCGTGTGTCCAAAAAATACTTAGAGTTCTACGAAGGCACCATTCCACTGAATACCCGAAACCATTAGAGTTGTTCTTCAAGATGGAAGAAACATCTTCATCCAAGTTTGAAGACATGGCATCAAGCACCATTAGCAGCCGCAAGTAGACATAAAAGCGGCGCCAATTACTACAACGAAGTTAGTGTTTTCACAATTTATTTTAAATGTTTAATTATATTACATTTAATTTCATAAATTAATTTCCTTTAATTTTTGTAATATTTAATTATATTACATTTAAGTTCATGAATTAATTTCCTTTAATTTTTGTAATTATATTTTCTAGGTACGCCAAGCGGAGGAATTGTATATGGAGGGCAGCTCAAAACCCTTTCAGTTTCGTGGTTGTTGGGAAATTTGTAAAGGGTGGGTGTTATTTGAAGATCCACCTCAACGTAGAGCTCATACGTCGGTGTTTGAAACTGCATCCTCAGTTGCAGATATGGATGAAGATGGATCTCCTACCATTCAACAAACAAGGGTAAAAAATCTGTTTTCAAGTGAAGGTTCCATACCTAGGGCTATGGGATGAAACAAGGCGCGAAGGTTGAAAGAAAATGGCGAGGCAAATGATGATTACGCCGCTCAACATGAAGTGGCGGCCTCATTGCGATTAAGGGTGGAGCAAAATGCCCTTGAGGCGGAAGAAAGAAAGTGCAAGCATGAAGAACAGCCCAAACAAATACAAGAAGAGATGGATGATAAGAATATGGAAAGGAACACTTCGAATTACACTATAATGAGTAAGGCCTATTTTGATAGGAAAAAAAAGGAAATTATGTCTCGGCGACAGTTGTTTACCTTCGACTATTCTCCTACAATGGCGGATGATGAAAATGATGTTGATTATGGATATTAAGTTTAAGTTGTTGTAGTTTTTAAATTTAAGTTAATGTTGTTTTTAAATTTAATTTGTAGTTTAAATTTGAGTTGTAGTTTTTAAATTTAAGTTGTTGTAGTTTTAAATTTAAATAATAAATTATGTTTGGCCCTCGGTTGGAGATGGAGGCAAATACGGCCCTGTACTGTTCATTAAAATATTAATATCTTGGAAACGAGCCCTCTGGCCAGCCCTCAGTTGGAGATGGCCTAAATAGCCTAGTCAATTTTATTAAAATATTATTAATTTTTATTATAAAATTAATAATTTGACTTCTATTTTTTAACTCGATTTCTCTCTCTCTCAGTTTCTTTCTCTCTCTCACTTGGCTCAGTCTCTCGGTCTCTTTCTCCTTTATCCGACTGCTGCATCTACTTTGCACATGCCTCTACCTCAAGGTCAAGGTAAGAAACCCTCACCGACAAAAACTCCGGCACCAATATATTGACAGAAATCAACTGCAGGTACCCGAAAACCTTTTATATCACAGCTATCCTTGGCCGAACCGGGTCGTACTCCTCCGAAAAATACGGCGTTGAAAACCCCTCAAGGCTCAGATCAGTCGAGCACTCGACGCCGGTGAAGTTGTAGTAAATGTGCGGATTGCTTCTGCTGACCAAAATCCGGCTGTCAGGTACCAGGACCTCTGCGGAATGGTACAGTCTCGCTTTCGGCGAACTGGTCATGACTGAAAACTTGCGGTTCAGAACCTCTGATGGCCGGTAAATGATGGGTGTGGTAACCGAATCGCGCCTCAACCAGCTCGACCAGCTCCGCTCCTCAACCTCCACAACAACTCCCTCTCTGGCGCAAAAAAAAAGAAAAAAAAAAAAAGGTGGATGACGTCATATAGGCCAGGCCATGGCTCTATCAATTCTGGGTTGGCCTGGAGACCAGCTTGGGTTAGGTGCCAGGTAATCTGCTGGGAGAGACTTCCCTAAGTGCCGGGCCATTTTTTTGGATGTGTGCCGGCCTATCCCACCCTCGGTAGAAGTGCTCTTAATCTGTGTGCTACTAAGAACCAAATAGAAGTTTTGAGTATAAAACCCGGAAGGGCTGCTCTAACAAACTAAGCTATTGGTCCCGAATTCAAATTCTCTATTTTTTTTTCTTTATTATAGAATATCCCTTGTTTTAAAAAATAAGAAAATCAATCATGTGATAATATTTGTGCATCTTATATATAAACATGGTATCACGCTAGTACAACAATTTGGTTTACATATATTCTTCGATAAAAATTTATCATTATTCATAAATGCATGCATACACGATCATGTATTTATTTCCAAATATTACTCTCAAAGTTATGATTAATTATTAAATATAACTAGATAGTATTACTATTGCTCATCTAGTACTAATCTCCTTAATTGTTCTATAGAGGTGCCTCTAGGGATGGGCAAAATACCTGTCTATTTAAACTTCACGGTTATGGTTTTATGGGTAACCATTTAGACAAATAAATGGTTATGGATATAACCGTTTACCCGTGAAATTTAAATGGATGGTTATGAGTATTAACCGTGGTTATAAACGGGTAACCGTTTACCCATTTATTTTATATATGTAAAATTAACACAAACCATGTTCTCAGTCCAATAATACTTAGCACCCAACAAATTAGTAAGGAATTCATCGGTCCTTGTCTCAATAACACTGCTACAGGAATGATGATTCTCATCCGCAATGAATTCGCCAAATTAATTTAAATTTCTTGTGGGTAACCGTGAAATTAACTGAAATGTCTTTAAAACAATTTTCATAACCCAATAATACTTAGCAAATATTATATTACCTTCATTGGTAACAGTTAACAATATCGTC